CAAAAAGTATGTGAAAATGTTGCTTAACACAGGGTTTAATGTGACCTTAAGCCAGGATTACATCTTTTCATTGAAGCTGGCATCTGCATCTTCCTCTTCCTCCTCCTCTATTCTGCCTCTGTGTCTTGTAAAGATGTGAAGATTATGAAGATGAGATCTTTAACTGAGATTAATAATCAATGTTGGCAGACTCTCTTTCTCTGTCTGTGGCTATATTTGGAGGCAGGTGCTTCAGATCAGTGTGATGCGTGGAGAATATCAAGGCTCTGGTCTGTTTCTGCTGAGGTCACGTGACATGATCATCCTGTAGCTGATGGCTTCATTGTTTATTTACTAATATTATTCACTCTATTATTCACTCTATATTATTCACTCTATAGTCTATTTTGATCATTTATCTGTTGCGTTTTTGATGCTTGTTGAATCCAGTGTTATTATAATTGACTAATACTAAGATTAAAATGATAAAAACTTGTTTTTGGTAATTGAAATAAAGCTGAAATTATTAGGTGAAATTTTTTAAAAATGTAAACACAAATTAGAAATTAACTGAAATAAATAAACTTAAGTGCTTAAATTTTTAAACTATAAAAGAAAAACAAAAATAAAAAACGAATGATAAATTAAATACATTAAAAATAAAATAAATTTAAATCGAAATGTTTAAAGAAAACTAATGGAAATGACAAAAGCACATCTCAAAATGACTAAAACTTAACTAAAATTAAAATGAAAACTGATATCTAAATATAAAAGCTACCTCAAAATATTAAAAAAAATATTAAAAATAAAATAAATTTAAATCAAAATGTTTAAAAAAAGTAATGGAAATGACAAAAGCACATCTCAAAATGACTAAAACTTAACTAAAATTAAAATGAAAACTGATATCTAAATATAAAAGCTGCCTCAAAATATTAAAAAAATATTAAAAATAAAATACATTTAAATCAAAATGTTTAAAAAAAAGTAATGGAAATGACAAAAGCACATCTCAAAATGACTAAAACTTAACTAAAATTAAAATGAAAACTGATATCTAAATATAAAAGCTACCTCAAAATATAAAAAAAAATATTACAAATAAAATACATTTAAATCAAAATGTTTAAAAAAAAAGTAATGGAAATGACAAAAGCACATCTCAAAATGACTAAAACTTAACTAAAATTAAAATGAAAACTGATTTCTAAATATAAAAGCTACCTCAAAATATTAATAAATGCTATAATAGTATATTAAATAAGACTGAAATTACACTGCTTGGATAAATCTGGCCTTTCACTGGGCATCATTTAGCTCAAGTCATTTCTCTCTCAGACAGTAGAGGGAGCCAGTCGCACACTCTTAAAAATAAAGGTGCTTCACGATGCCATAGAAGAACCTTTTTGTCTAAATGGTTCAATAAAGAACGTTTGACATCGGAAGAACCTTTCTGTTGCACAAAAGGTTCTTTGTGGCGAAAGAAAGTTATTCAGATTATAAAAGGGTAAGAAAGAGATGGTTCTTTAAAGAACCTTTGACTGAATGGTTCTTTGTGGAACCAAAAATGGTTCTTCTGTGGCATCGCTGTGAAGAACCTTTTAAGCACTTTTATTTTTAAGAGTGCACACATTTTCACATCATCGCTTTTGTCAGACTGTTACTTGAATTCATTTGAATATGAAGACGATTCACAAACCTGACTTTACCATAGCCTTATTTCTCGATGGTGCTTAAAATAGTGTTTTGGAATTGACTGAAGTTTGAAGTATATGTTCATTTATTATCTAATGGTGAGGGGAATGCTGTGATATAGATACTGTAATGTGATCTGTGAGCTTCTGTGGTGGTGATGGGGTTATCTGTGTACAGTAGCTACGCTTCCGTTCAGAAGTTTGGGGTTTCATTTGCTCACCAAGGCTGCATTTATTTGAACAAAAATAAAGTAATATTGTTAAATGTTATTGCAATTTAAAATAGCTGTTTTAGGTTTTAATATATTTTAAAATGTGATTTATTCCTTTGATCAAAGCTGAATTTTCAGCATCATTACTCCAGTCTTCAGTGTCACATGATCCTTCAGAAATCATTCTAATATGATGATTTGCTGCTTTGCTGCTGTTGTGCTGCTACATATTTTTGAGGAAACAGTGATACTTTTTTCAGGATTCTGAGAGAATAGAAAATTCAAAAGAACAGCATTTATGTGAAAAATAATGTAAAATAATGCGCCGTAATACTAGAATTCATGCAAGAACACAAACCAGTCACTGGAAGTTGGGGATTTTAGTTTGAGATGATAAAACCGTTTATTAATCTGTCCACGTTATTATAAAGAAAAATCATTTAATCAGAATAACTTCTGAAGACACCTTCCTGTTCTAATAAAATAATAACCAATAATATAATAGTCTAACTTATTTCACACTCCCTGTCCTCAGTTATTTCCCACTTAATATTCTGTTTCTCTTAGAAATATGTCACTGTATGAACATGAGATGCACTGTGAATGCGTTTAATGCTGTTGTTGTGATGTGTTGAGGCATAAATGTGACATAAATATGTTTTCTCTCTGCATAATCATCACTTTCGGATTTCTGCTCTGCTGTCACAGAGCTCTGACACTGTTGTGCTGCAGGATGCGTGTGTGTGTGTGTGTGAGTGTGTGTGTGTGTGTGTGTGTGTGTGTGTGTGATGGCAGTTCGACTGGTTCCACAGTAAACATGAAGACGAGCGATCCTCACATGCTGTTGCCTTGGCAACACGCCCCTCTGACCTGCTGCTGTACAGCTCTCCATCTCTGCTCCGTTAACAGCTAAATAAACAGAGAGGCAGAGATGTTAATCTATAGAGAATTCATGAGATTGCTGGAGATCAGACAGACAAGACTCTGTATGTGAGTGTAGAGAGATTTGGGGCTTTCTGACGCAGGAGAATGTCTCTTTAGAGCTCAGTGGCTTTTAGCACTGCAGTGTGAATTCTGCATCTGGCTGTGAATTCGGCTGTTCTCTTCTCCATGTTATTCTGGGCTCAGAAACGCCACGTCACTGACAATAAGAATCGGACTCATTCAAATGAATCAAACAGTATTGAACGAAATGACAGTAAATCTCTTTGATCAAACTGTGTCAAACATAAAGTATCAGAGTGACTGAAATGTAACCAAAATGTATCTGACAAAATAACAGTAAACTGAGTCATAATGATTCAAATGAAACAAGCTGTGTCAGACAGAGTAAAACTAAATGTGACTGAAATCATGTAACTGAATCTGAAGGATTCAAATGAATCAAACTGTACTGGAAAGAATGAACATGAATCAAATTGAGTTATACTGATTCAATTTTAATACAAAATGTCATACAGAATGAAACCGAAGCATTTTATACAAACTGAATTGAACAGGATTAAATTGAATCAAACTAAATCAGATGAATTCAAATGATTCAGACTGTACTAAATAGAATGAAAGTGAATCAAAATAAATTAAAATTTAATCAAACTGTGTTGGACAGAATGACAGTGAATCAAACTAAATGGTACTTATTCAAATAAGTATTAGAATTAAACCTTTTTTAAGTGAATTGGACAGAAAAAAACTGAATTGAGCTAAATCAGATTGAACTGGACAGAATGAAACTCATTTGTTTCTTATTGAACTGTATGGGACTGAATGAAAGTGAATCGAATCGAAGCAGATTGATTCAAACTTATTCAAACTGGATCAGACAGAATGACAGTAAATGGAACTGAATCATACTGATTTAAATGAATCAAACTGCATCGACAGAATAAAACCGAGTCATTTTAATCAAACTGAATTGGATAGACTGAGACTGAATTAAACTGTATCAGTCAGAATGAAAGTGAATCAAATCAGTGAATCAGTCTGATTTAGCTTATAATTTAGATTCAGTTGCTTTCACTGACTCAGTTTTAAAACCAATTTCAGCTACACTGTAAAAAATTAAATATTATCTAGTAACTAGTTCCACAGATTTTTTACATTCTCTCAATTTCTCTCTTCAGAGTGTTACCTGAATTGTTATTTTTTAGTTGGCTCAACTTTTACTGAACTAGTTTTATAGTCTATTCAACTAAAATGTTAAAATTGGTCGAACATTTAGAAAACGACAACAAATTATGTCAATTTAAATGAAACTATTTACTCCATGTGTTTTATTTGTTACCTAAACTAAGATTTATTATTTGGGCATCATAAGAAATAGCTGTGGAACTAGTTATTGCATTTTATACTGAGCGTAACAAAATTATGAACTGGTGTCTAACAATCACTAAGAACACAGACAAATGCTATGTTTTGCATGCAGTTATAGTGTACTGCTTCCTAACTCTTTATATACTACACAGTATATACAACTGTTAACAATAGTATGCGACACTGATGTCACATGATCACATTTTGTGCATGTTTTACATTAAGCAAGTAACATCCAGTTTTAATCTTTGATGCAAAAAACTGTTATTTCACATTTTAAAGCCAAGAAATATTTGAACCTTTGTCAAATGAATCAAATAATGAGTCAAAAAACAGAAACCGAACGTGAATGGTGCAGAATGTGCACACGCACTCAAAACAGCATGAATATCTGCACTGTGGTTTTTAGCATTCAAAGCGAATAATAATACAGTGCTTGTGCGTGTCGACATCTCAACGACGGGGTTTTCCTGTGAAAAGCCTTTTTTCAGAGCAGCGTTTCTAGCTGAGTCATATCAGAGAGAGGGAGAGGTAATCAACCGTTGCAGAAAATACGATGGAAAAGAGGACGAGGGACAGAAAAATGTGCCAGAGTGCTGGGAAAGAGCGATGGTGTGAATGAAAGGAGAGGGAGAGACAGAGTGTGTGTTTCATGAGGGGTGGGGTTTGCTGCTAGAGGGGCGGGGTTTAGCTCTGCTCAGCGATCAGAGGCAGAGCAGTGTGTACACCATCAGTCGGCTCTGAGCAGGATGAGAACAGCTTTTGCCATCACCTCCCTTCTCGTCTCCTCACCTCTCAGGGCCGCCTCACGTGAAAGACGCTTTGAAGTCTCCGTATCTGCATCAAGTTGAAGACCAGACCTGAGGATTGTGCCTGTGCTTTGGAGTTTATGGTCTGCTGTTGCTTTTGAGACGGATTCTACAAGTGTGTGTGAGCGTTTGACTCTTCAAGAACCATCTACAGGTGTGTTTACCTGCCTCAGGGGATCTAAACAGGTGCGAAAGGTTTGGGACAAGCTTGACGATGACCACCATGCAGAAGTTGCTCCAGCTGCCAGTGAACGCCGTGAACATCGTGAAGAGCGTGCAGGGAGTCGTTCAGGGCCAGGAGGAGGCTCTCAGTCCGGTGCTGACGCCCGACAGCGGCCCGCAGAACTGGTACAGCGCCGTCCAGCCAGAAGAACTCCGACACCTGAGATCTGGGGGGACGGGCGGTGGGGGGGAGGGGTCAGAGGATCGACCCGGGCTGGAGGAGGGGCTTACCAGCATTCAGTCGCAACCTTTACGGTACGGTAACACTCATGTGAAGTCATGAATGGCTGTGTGAGTGATCTCTTTCAAAGCGTAATTTAAGCCACTTTGCTTCTGTTGTTTCTCTGAAAAAAATAGTCACAAATGAGATAAAACATTTACATAAAAATCATTCGAAAAATAAAATGTTTCATTAAAAAGAATAAAAATGAGTACACATTTAATTAGAACTATCTATAAATGTATAATGTTATAAATTAAAAAAATGTAAATTTATACACAGTATAAACAATTTTTATTTTTATACTAATATAAATTTATAATTTTATAAATTATAATTTAAAAAATGCTAATTTCTAAACTATATAAACTAATTTTATTTTATAATGAGATATATATAATCTATACGTAATGTAAGGGAAACAGGTCAATTTAGCTCAAAGGGAATTATTTTTGATTTTATAGGGAATTTGGACAGAATCACTGTTTTACGGCTGATCAACTGAATCGGCCAGCGATTCACTGAAAGGGCCGTACAACATCAACTCTGCATGGATATTAATATCCAAAATATAGTGAAATCTGCAATGGATATTAATATCCAAAGTATAGTGAAAACACTATTTATTAGCACAGTAACAAGATCGGCGGTTTAAGACATTAACTTGTAAGCACAAAACACAAGATACTTCTCTTTTCAATAAAAATGAGACTTTAAATGAGACTTCAATAAAGACTTTATTGGATAAATCTAAGACATATAAACTAATCTAACACATAAACATACGCTCTCATACATTCACACAAGTTGCAGAAAGAGAAAAAGTGAGGAAAGAATGAGTTTAACAGAGTGAAAATGTGAAATCCCAAGTTTATAGCAATATGTGCAATTGCATAGGCCTGAACAACCATCAATCACTTAATTAATCCTCGTATTGAGTTCCTCAATGAGGTTAAAATTTATATTAAATGCACCAGTTCAGCTAGAATCTGGAGGTACTTGCGTTGCCTGTGTAGGGGGTTCCCTTGTTGTCTTCCTTTGTAGAAAGGGGTTTCCCAAGGTTGCTGATTGGCTGGAAGTTCAGTAATCGTTGAAGTGACGTCTTGGGAAGCCAATGGTTGGGCGTTGGCTGAAGATGCGGAGTTGTGGGGTGTTTTGAGGCGGTCACAGACTCGAGGTGAACTCGGAGACACGGCGTTGCGGCGAAACTTAACACGAAGCTCTCAACGGAAAAGAAACTACAGTAAAAGAAAGAAAAGGGTAAAGTTTGACGAGACTAGGTGGCGTTTCTCCTCATGGTTTTAGAGGAGCTGCTGGCATGTAAGCTCGAAGAATTCATGGGTAAAAAGCATGGCTATAAGCATAAAGCAAAAAACAATGACTAAGAGCAAAAAGTGGCGGCTAAAAGCCGACAAGGCAAAAAGCATGATTTGATGGTGTCCTGAGTATTTAAACCGGGCTGTTGGACACATCTCAAATGGTGTCTTGACCAATTAGACATTGTCTTAGCTTGGGGTGTTGCTATGATTCTCCTCCCAATACATAAATCAACATGTTATCTTATCAGTCACATGGTCCGAATTTTCCCGCTCTTGCAGAGTATAATTTGGACATGATTTCTATAACCAGAATATAATACATTTTGCAAAGTACTGATTCATAGAAATGTTTAAAGCATGAAAATTCAAACTCATACATACCCAACATGAATATTATCCTAGTATGAACTATTCAATAGTTATTCAAAATACATTATCACAATATCACAATAAGTGATTAGGACATGATAGTCAAATGTGTGGGTTACATACATGATATAGCGTTATGCATAGAAGTGAAAGTTGCTCATAACATATATACATGTGTAACAACGTTCGTAGTCACGGGAAGGAGGCGGGAACCGGCAAACATTTAAAGAAGATTTTAATAAAATAAACACAAAAAATGAAAGTAAAGAGGCAGCCCCTCGCGGATGACTGCCGCACACAAAACACAGATCACAGCAGCCGCGGCGTACCTGGGGGTAAGGACAGACAGACGAGGCAAGAGAAAAGGAGACGGAAGGATGAGGAGAGACAGATACGAGAGAGGGGAGAGAGGAAAAGAAAAAAAATTTTTATCGGTCCGGTTCCCAGGACACACTGCTGCTTGGTCCTCAACCGGCTGAGAGGCTCTCACTCGCGGTGCCATCCGATGGCACTGGACATCGTTGGTGGACGGCCCACCGCTCCTCCGCCTCCTGGCGGACGGCAATGGCTCCTCCTATTGAGGGCAGCCGGCAGCGAGTCCTCCGTTCCCTGCTCCTCCCCAATCATGGCGGATGGA